GGGGAAAGGAGAGCCTCTTCAATAAATGCTGTTGGAAAAACTGTGCAGCACAAACAAAAAATGTAACTGAGTCACTATCATCCACCACACACAAAAACTGACTCAAAATAAAGAATTAAAGACTTGACTGTAAAGCCTGAAACCATAAAACTCCTAGAAGAAAACACAAGCATGGGACTTGGTAATTATTTTGGGATTTGACATTAAAAAGCAAAAGCAACAAAAGCAAAACTAAACAAGTAGAACTACATCAAACTAAAAAACTGCACAGCAAAAGAAATCATCATCAAAATGAAAAAACAATCTACGGAATGAGAAAATATTTCCAAGCATTATCTGATAAGCGGTTAGTGTCCAAAATATGTAAAGAACTCATACAACTTAGACTTCCGCCAAGATGGAGGCATAGGTGGATGTGTCGTGCCTTCTCACACAACCAAGTTTAGAGACAACTAAATATTAGCAACAGAAAACACAGCCAGAACACGGAAAATTGAACTTTTCGGAAGTCCGTTAACAACAAAATCTTCAGCCTGACCGGTAAGGGGCGAAACCAGCGGCTGGTGAAGCAGGATTGCACAGGAGGACTCGGTCAGCCAGACTCAGGCGCGGAATCCAGATGCGCGGAATCCAGGCGCAGGGTCGGACCTACTGAGCCACCGAGGGAGCAACCAGGCGAGGGACCGTGGGGGAGACAGCAGGGGAGCGGTGCTGCGTGTTGACTGTGGTCTCACATTTGTGCGTGGGCGGACAGGAGAGGGAGTGGGCCGTTGGACCTGGGTGGGCGGGTCCCCGCGGCAAGCGGGAGAGCGCTGCCATTTCCCTGCTTTGACCCCACCTCCACATACAGCGTCATAACCCAGCGACTCTGAGTGGCCCGGCCCAGGTAAACCACCTAAGACGCTAATCCTCACCCAGCTGTGAAAAACAGCAGAGGGGGGGTCGCCATTTCCCCGCTCTGACCACGCCCCCACATACAGCGTCACAACCCAGCAACCTGGGAGTCCAAGGCACCGCTTCTCACACTTAAAGGGCCAGAACAGACCAAAAATGTCGCAAGAATATCTCAAAGCCCCAGAGCCCATAGATCTAAGCTATGAAGAAATAGCAAAACTCTCAGACGCACAATTTAAAACACTGGTCATCAGGATCCTCACAGAACTGGTTGATTATACCGACAAATTAGACAAATATATGAAGGCAAAACTAATTGAAATGAATGGAATTGCACAGAAAACCAATAGCAATGAAAAGGAAACTGGGACTCAAATCAATGGAGTGGACCAGAAGAAAGCAAATAATGGCCAAACAGAAAAGAGTCAAGAAGCAAGAATTCAAAAAAAATGAGGAGAGGCTTAGGAACCTCCAGGACATCTTTAAACGCTCCAACATCCGAATTATAGGGGTACCAGAAGGGGGAAAGGAACAGCCACCAGTGGAAAACTTATTTGAACAAATAATAAAGGAGAATTTCCCCAATCTGGCAAAGGAAATAGACTTCCAGGAAATCCAGGAAGCTCAGAGAGTACCAAAGAAGTTGGACCCAAGAAGGAACACACCAAGGCACATCATCATTACATTAGCCAAAATTAAAATGAAGGAGAGAATCCTAGAAGCAGCAAGAGCTAAGGGGACAGTCACCTACAAAGGAGTCCCCATCAGACCGTCAGCGGATTTCTCAAAAGAGACCTTACAGGCAAGAAGGGGCTGGAAAGAGGTATTCCAAGTCATGAAATCCAAAGACCTACAACCAAGATTGCTCTATCCAGCAAAACTTTCATTTAGAATGGAAGGACAGATAAAGTGCTTCTCAGATAAGGTCAAGTTCAAGAAGTTCATCACCACCAAGCCCTTATTATATGAAATGTTAAAGGAACTTATCTATGAAAAAGGACAGCAATGAACAGTGAAAGTACAGCAAACTCACAGTTATTAACAAACACACCTAAAACAAAAGCAAACTAAAAGGACAGCTAGATCAGGAGTGGAAACATAGAAATGAAGATCTCAAGGAGGGTTAGCAACAGGGGAGTGGGAGGAGGACAAGGGGGGAGAAGGTACAGAAAATAAGTAGCATAGACAGTAGATAGAAAATAGATGGGGGGGCAAGAATAGCATGGGAAATATAGAATCTAAAGGAATTGAGACACATGGTCATAAACTAAAGGGGGGATAACGGTGGGGACGGGGGGGTAGGGTGGAGGGGAATGAAGGGGGGAATAGAACAACTGTAACAGCATAATCAATAAAAAATTTAAAATTAAAAAAAAAGAACTCATACAACTTAATAGCAAAAAAATGCCAATAAAAATGGACAAATTATCTAAATAGATATTTATGCAAAGAAAATATTCATCGGATGGTCGACAGGTACATGAAAAGGTGTTTAACATCACTCATCCTCAGGGAAAGCCAATGAAAACCATCATGAGACATCACCCACACCTGTCAGAATGGCTACTATCAAAACAAGAACAAGTGTGAGCAAGAATGTGGAGAAAAGGGAACCCTTGTGCCCTGCTAGTGGGAATGCAGATGAGTGCAGCCACTGTAGAGACAGTATGGAGGCTCCTCAAAAAAATTAAAAATAGAGTTACCATATGATCCAGTAATTCCACATCTGGGTTTATATTCAAAGGAAATGATATCACTATCTTAAAGAGACAGCACCCTCTGTTCATTTCAGCACTATTTGTAATAGCCAAGACGTGAAAACAATGTAACTATCCATCAATGGATGAATGGGTAAAGAAAAAAAATGAGACACACACACACACACACACACACACACACACACACGACTGTTATTTAGCCATAAAAAGGGAAATCCTGCTATTTTTATCAACAGAGATGGACCTTGAGGGCATTATGCTAAGTAAAATAAATCAGAGGAGGACCAATACTGTATGATCTTATTTATATGTAAAGTGGAAAAACCAACCTCAAAACAGGGAGTAGATTGCCGGTTGCCAGGAAGTGGGGGATGGAGGAGGTCAAAGGGGACAAACTTCCAGAGTAAGTTCTGGGAACGTAAGGTAACCACAGCACTGTGACTACAACTAACAATAAAGCACTATATATCTGAAAGTTGCTGAGACAGTAAATCTTAAAAGTTCTCATTATACAAACAAAAAAACTGTACCTCTGTGAAGTGAGGAAGGGTTAACTAACTTTGCTGAGGTAATCATTTCACAGTACATACACAACAAATCAAATCAGCACATCGCACACCTTAAACTCCTACAATGTTGTAAGTCAATTACATCTCAATAAACCCGGGAGGGGGTGAAATTAAAATTCAGTTAAAAAACAAAACAAAAGACCTGAGCATTGCCTCCTCCCCAGAGGGTCCCACTTGCCACCTCTGGGACTCACTGCTAGAGGCAAAGAACAGAGGGTCAGGGCTGGTCTTGTTCAGCCTGCCCTCTGGCTGCTGCCTGGGTGTGGCTGTAAAGGAGCTGGTTGTTGCCTTGAGCTTAGGCAGAGCGAAGGGACATAGGGCCCTGAGAACGTCCTCTGGGCCCTCAGAGCCCTGTCGTGGCAAGGAGAGGGTTGGGGAAACTAGGCGAGTGTGAGGAACTATCCAGCTGTGAGCTATCCAGCAGCAGCTACTGAAGGAGTGACAGCAAACCCCAATAGAAGGTTCCAAGGCAGGAGTGGGACTACTTTTGATACTGGCTGACCATCTCCCTGGGCTCTGGCCCAGGGAGCTGACAAGGTGGCCACCAGAGCAGAGGCCCAAGGCCAGCTTACTGGGTGGCTCTCTAACCCAAACTCTCAAGAAAGGAGCTGACTTCTGGGCTGAGGCCCAACTTAAACACAATATAATCTTCTAGAACCAGATCTCTCCCTCTCTTTCTCTTCCTTTTCCTTTTGTCTTCACACTCATGGTTATTTTAACAAGGATTTATTGAGCAAAGACTACCTACCTAGCCAGGAGCTAGGCACCACAGGAGAAATTTATTCATTCAACAAACACATAACATTCCAGACAGTGATCTGGGTCTGCAACAAAATCAATCAATTCCTGACCGAAAGACCCAAAGAGTGAAAACAACCCAAATGTCCACTAAGTGATGAGCAGGTAAACAAAACGAGCTGTATCTGTACAAAAGGATGTCATTCGACCACAAAAAAGAATGAAACATGCTACACACGACATGAATGAACCTTGAAAAAATCATGTTAAGTGAAAAACAATCATAAAAAAACAAATACTGCATGATTCCATTCATATGAAATGTCCAGAATAGGCAAATCCACAGACAGGGAAAACATTAGTGGTTGCAGAGGACAGGGGAGTGACTGCTAATAGGTCCCAGGTTTGGGAGGAGTAATGAAAACAATCTAGAATCTGTTGTAGTGATGGCTGTACAACTTGAATGTAATGAAAACCACTGAATTGTATACGAGGGGGGGAACTATATAGTACATGAATTATAGCTCAATAAAGCTAATATTTTTTAAACCCCTGCCCTGATGAAGTGGAAGAGGGGGGAACCAGAAAAATAAGCAAAACATTTAAGTAACCAGATACAGTACACCAAATACCAGCACTTTGGGAGAAAATAAAGTAGGAAAGGAAGACAGTACAAGGATGGCATCACAATGTTATAGGATGCAGACAGACAGACGGCTTCACTGAGGATGAAAACCTGAAAGGCCCAAAGGAGCCAGCAGGCAGCTGTCTGGGGAAAGGTGCTCCAGGCAGCAGCTCTGGGAAATTCTAGTGCTCACAGGTGCCTGGCAGACAAGAGTCCAACTAAAAGCAAAGAGCTCAAAGCAGCTCTGAGTGCTGGGAGAAAGGGCAGCCCCAAGCTTGTCAAAGAACTTGGCGTGTGGTAAGGCTGTATCCCAAACTATGAGCACCAATTCAGGAGCCAGTCAGTGCAGGGTCCACAGAAGTTCTAAAAATATCTGCTGAATGAATGAATAATGAATCAACGGGGTCTACCCTGCAGCTGCCTCCAGCCCTACCTGAATCCCGAAGCCCCTGTTACCTTTCCAGCCCAGTTTGATGTTCCATTCATAGAAGAAGATCAGCTTCCCTTTGCGGCTGCTGCAGGAAGCCTCGCCTTCCACCTGCTTCAGCTCACTGATCTGGCAGCGACCAGCCTCATTCTCCACCACAATGCCCACCAGGAACTCACGGAGCTTCCCCTTAGACCAGCTGGTGGCATCTCGCTCTGTCCTGCCAGAAGCCAGAAGGGCAGAGCCATGAATGGAAGGCCCAGGTGATATCACCTGCCCGGCCCAGACACACCTGATTCCCCTCATGGGTTCTTGGAAGAACTGCCACCCTCAAACTTACAAACATGCTTCTCAAACCAACTTTCTCCCAAATATTTCTTAAACCTCCTGCTTGGTTCCTTAAGATAGCATTAACTACTCTATAAAGTAGAACACACTTGATAATTTTTTGTCTTAAGAACACCAGCTTATTTGGGGAAAAGGCGGTCTACCAATCTAAGTTGGAAATGTATAAAATATATGAGAAGATAGTAATAACTGAAATAATTCTAACAAGACAAATTATCAAGTGTGTTCACACGTATTATTACTTCATGCAATCTCCCCAAATAATGTTCCCACTCTGGGAGGCAGAGATGAACTGGGAGACGTCAATGATGTGTCTGTGGTGACAGGGCTGAGAAAGGAGAGGTCAGCTCCTCTGAGTCGGGGCCAAAAAATGATCCCTTCACAAACCCAGGGCTTTGCTCTACCTGGACCTGCCTCAGCATCAGCTTGATAGCCTGAAGGTACCACCGCCCTAACAGGAGCAGGGCAGAGAGCATCACTTCCTGAAGCTCTGAGGGAGGCAGAAATAAGCCAGTGTTCCAAATGAGGTACAAAAACAATGGGTAACTGGTTCAAATTCCTCCAAGGCAGGGCTCGCCCGAGGCAGAGTTGAGATCCAAATTCCTGTTTTTTCCACTATGCACAAACCAAAACATACCCTCGTTTCCCAACACACACTCTCTAGCTTCACTTTAGCTTCCAGAAACATCAAGAGCACTAGATGTGGGAGGGGGTAAAGGAAGGGAAGCACCCAGTTAAGGGTACAAACTGTCAAAGTTGAAGAGGTAAATCAAAAACCTTTCTTAGAGGTTTGCATGCAACCCAACTTTCAAAAGGAGGAAACAAGTCTTAGAGGCAGTGCATGCAAGATTCCAAGTCTAGGGCCTCAGAGGGCTTTACCAAGCCCAGAGGCTACAGATGAGCGGCAACTTCAAGATGGGGAGGGAAAGGGAATCCGGTGCACCTGTCCCTCCGAGGCGCCCTGGGACTAGGACACCCTCACTCCGCAGCCCCAGTGCCCAGGGCGCTCGGTGCTCGCAAAGGGCTCCCCCGAGCCCTCCGGGCAGCTCCGGAGACGGAGGCCCGGGACCGCGGCCCAGACCCCCGCCCTGCCGCACCAGTGCCAGTTGTTCACATTGGTCCCGTCCTCCCGCTCCTCCACGATCCAGCGAGGGTCCCCCTGGCCCCACTTGGCCATGTCTGCGCTGGCGGCGCGCCTTCAGCAGAGAACAAGGCAGGGCCGCGGCGGTGGCGGCGGCGGTGCGGCCGGTCGCTGACGTTTCCGGCTTCTCAGCCCTGGACCGGAGCTTTCACAGCGCCCACAACCTGCCAGAAGTGCCCGCCCCTGCGCCGCTCCGCCCACCTCCCGCACCAGGCGCCTGGACGCAAAGCTCCCAGAAACCCGGTGCCGGAGCGGGGCGCAGGGTGGGGAGGGGCGGGGCCTGGGGATACGGGGTTTCTGGAGGGGCCGTAGGGGGCGAGGGGACCCCGGCGACCGGGGGTCCAGGAGAGGTCTGGCTTCAGAGTTGGGCGCGGACCAAAGAGAGGGGAGTGTCTGCGCGCGTGGGGCGGGGTCGAGGTGGTGGGCGCCGACCGGCCGGGCACGGTGGGGAGCGGTTCCAGTGCTCGGGGCTGATGGGCGGTCCCTCGGGCGGGGGCGGGGTCCTGGCGGCCCGGGCGGGGTTTTGCAAAGGCCTACGGGGCGCCGCTGCGGAACCAGGAAGTGCTGGGACCCGGAAGAGGGCAACCTCGGCCGCCTCCAGTAAAGGACTGGACACCTGAAGGGCTCATTACTACAGTGATTAGTTTCAACGCTAGCAGCTGGGCGGCGGGTAACGTGCCTGCCGGAGAGCTAGCCGCATTGGGGATGCAGACCGGAGGCGTCTGTCCAGGCTGTCAACAATCAGCTGTGCTATTCAGTCCAGTCCGGGACTCGACCCCAGCACTTGATCACCGTTTGCTGTACAACCGACTTCTGAGGTCGGAGCGTGCCCACGGTACTTGCAATCTCCACTGTGCACGTGTTCGTTACATTCCTGTTTTGTCCCAAAGTTCCTGCAGAGTTGGTGCGCTATAATTCTCTCCTCAGGCCTTTCCATCACCTGCCCAAGTAGCATGCGTTACCAAGTTCCCAGTTACTTGAAGAATGTTTATGTTTTTTTCATTTAATAATCTTTTATAGATGACAAAAGGATGTGACTGCAAGTACCCATTATTGTAGCTTGATGCAATTTTACAGTAATTAAGTGGCTAGTGATTCCTTTAACAAAACTTCACCTTCCAGCAAAATCTTTGTACTACTCTTCCGTGTGTAATACACGGAAGATGTTACTAAAGGGTCTATGGATATTTGTTTAGTATGAAAAACAAATATGACAATGGAAGAGTAGAAGCACCTGACTCTTCTGTTCCCTGGTACTGACCCGTCCTTTGTGCTCAAGAGAGAAACTAACTGGTGGAGAACTTTTTTCTCCTTTACTTACTGGGGCAACTGCATTCCAGTATAATTTTCCAAAAATCTAAAAGTTATGCAAATATACCACTTCAAAATGTTTTGGCCCCAAAACAAAATGACATTTTAATTTCACCTTTTACAGTTTACTTTACCAAGGCCATGGACAACTAAAACATTGTATCAAATAGGAAAGAATTTCAGTGGTAATGCTAGTGGTCACAGTTTTCTTGTGCATTAGCTGTGTATCTTTTATCCAATTCATAAAGAATATTAATGATAGGACATTACATGGTAAGATTTAGATATGGATAATTGAAAGCTGCGGTGGGAAAATAAGACCAGGAAACTTACAAAAAGAACTACTCCAATGGAAACAATTACATTAAAATGTAAATGAAAAAGGCATTCTATGTAATAATTGACCAAGAATTAAACTGACCTAAAAGAATTTGTTCCAAAAAGTAATTTCACAAAGAAAATCTTCAGTATTAATATAATTATTATGGCCCTGGCCAGGTGGCTCAGTTCGTTGGAAAGTCATACACCAAAACGTCACAGGTTTGATTCCTGATTAGGACACATACCTAGGTTGCGAACCTGGCCAGTGCACATAAGGGAGGAAACCAAGCAATGTCTCTCCCCCTCTCTCGCTCTCCCCCTCTAAAATTTCCTTGCGTAAGCCTTTTTTAAAATGTTTAAATATAATTATTATGAAAATATCAGTCTTAATAAACCTGAGTCAAGGTCTCAAAGACAAATTTGTATGCCCATGATCATAGCAGCATTATTCACTGTGTGGAAGCCACCCAAGTGTCCGTCGGTAAAAGAATGAATAAGCAAAATGTGGCACTTACATATAATGGAATATTAGCCATCCTTCAAAAGAAAAGAAGTTTTGGTATATGGTACAATATGGATGGAACTTGAGGCTTACATTATGCTATTAATGTGAACTTAGCATATAAACACTGTGTTAAGTGAAATAAGACAAAAACGAAAAGAAATACTGCATGATTTCATTTACATGAAGAATTTAGAATGGCCCAAATTACAGAGACATAAAAGAATGGTGTTTGCCAGGGGCTGCAGGGGCAGGGAGCCTGCGGAGCTACTATGTATGGGCAGTTTTGGTTTTACTGGTGAACAGCACTCAGGCAGCAGTGACGGCGGCACAGCATCAGGAGTGTGTTCAGTCCCACTGATCGGTACTTTTAATGGATGAGCTGGTAAGATTTGTTGTTTTTACCACAATAAAAAATGGGGACTTCTGCCAAGATGGAGGCATAGGTGGAGACGCGGTGCCTTCTCACACAACCAAGTTTAGAGACAACTGAATATTAGCAACAGAAAACACAGCCAGAACACAGAAAATTGAACTTTTCAGAAGTCTGTTAACAACAAATTCTTCAGTCTGACCGGTAAGGGGCGAAACCAGCAGCTGGTGGAGCGGGGTTGCACAGGAAAACTCAGTCAGACGGAGTCAGGCGCGTGGAATCCAGGCGCAGGGTTGGACCTAGTGGGAGACCGAGCAAGCGACCAAGCGAGTGACCGTGGGGAAACAGCAAGGGAGCAGGGCTGCGGGTTGACTGTGGTAGCGCATTTGTGCGCGGATAGACAAGCGAGGGAGTGGGCCATTGGACCAGGACCCAGCGGGTCCCCGCTGCAAGCAGCAGCGAAGGGCACCGCCATTTCCCTGCTCTGACCTCACCTCCACATACAGTGTCATATCCCACCGACTCTGAGTGGCCGGGCCATGGTGAACCACCTGAGGCTCTGCTACCCACCCAGCAGCTCAAAACGGCAGAGGGTGCCGCCATTTCCCCGCTCTGACCACGCCCCCACATACAGCGTCACAAACCAGCGACCTGGGAGTCTAGGGCTCCGCTCCTCGCACTTAAAGGGCACGAACAGACCAAAAATAGCTCAAGAAGATCTCAAAGCCCCAGAGCCTATAAATCTAAGTGATGAAGAAATAGCAAAACTCTCAGACGCACAGTTTAAAACACTGGTGATCAGGATCCTCACAGAATTAGTTGATTATAGCCACAAATTAGAGAAACATATGAAGGTGAAACTAATGGAAATGAATGGTATTGCACAGGAAACCAATAGAGATGAAAAAGAAACTGGGACTCAAATCAATGGAGTGGACCAGAAGAAAGCAAATAATGGCCAAACAGAAAAGAGTCAAGAAGCAAGAATTCAAAAAAAAATGAGGAGAGGCTTAGGAACCTCCAGGACATCTTTAAACGCTCCAACATCCGAATTATAGCGGTACCAGAAGGGGGAAAGGAACAGCCACCAGTGGAAAACTTATTTGAACAAATAATAAAGGAGAATTTCCCCAATCTGGCAAAGGAAATAGACTTCCAGGAAGTCCAGGAAGCTCAGAGAGTCCCAAAGAAGTTGGACCCAAGAAGAAACACACCAAGGCACATCATCATTACATTAGCCAAGATTAAAATGAAGGAGAGAATCCTAGAAGCAGCAAGAGCTAAGGGGATAGTCACCTACAAAGGAGTCCCCATCAGACTGTCAGCTAATTTCTCAAAAGAGACCTTACAGGCAAAAAAGGGGCTGGAAAGAGGTATTCCAAGTCATGAAATCTAAAGACCTACAACCAAGATTGCTCTATCCAGCAAAACTTTCATTTAGAATGGAAGGACAGATAAAGTGCTTCTCAGATAAGATCAAATTCAAGGAGTTGATCATCACCAAGCCCTTATTATATGAAATGTTAAAGGGACTTATCTAAGAAAAAGAAGTTAAAAAAACATGAACAGTGAAAGGACAACAAACTCACAGTTATTAACAACCACACCTAAAACAAAAGAAAACTAAGAGGACAGCTAGATCAGGAGTGGAAATATAGAAATGAAGATCTCAAGGAGGGTTAGCAACAGGGGAGTGGGAGGAGGAGAAGGGGAAAGACGGTACAGAAAATAAATAGTATAGACAGTAGATAGAAAATAGATGGGAAATATAGAATCTAAAGAACTTGAGACACATGGTCATAAACTAAAGGGAGGGTAATGGGGACGGGGAGGTAGGGTGGAGGGGAATGAAGGGGGGAAATAGAACAACTGTAATGGCATAATCAATAAAATATATATTTTTAAAAAGTTGTATGATAAAATGTTAAGGGCTGAGTTCAATGAGGATTATGTGGTAGCGGATCCTAGTCCTCGTCCCTGGGGGTTTCCATGGTAACATTAATAATGTTACTTGGCTATGAATGCCTGTGATCAGAGCATCAAGGGCATGTGCTGTTTCCTACATTCCCTTGAATATCACATACCTAAAAGACATCTGCACAAACACAAATAATTTTATTCACATGTCCAACAGTGAATAGACTGAGTTTTAAAGACAATTAATACAATCGATTTCGTGAACTCAGATATGAGTTTTAAAAAATAGTAGTCAAGCTGTCGGCATTTTATTTTACAGAATTTTGCATGTAGCCCACTTCTTTCTGCACAAAGGTAAAACACAATTTGCTTAATTCCCCATTCTTTTGCAATTTCAACACAATTTTGTGTCCCAGTCATCTCCTTGTTAGTCTAAGGTTACATCTCTTCCACTCTCAGCCTTTTCTGAGCTTCATTTCCTCTCTTTATGTTCTTGAATATAGCTTTGAGGTGTAGGGTACTGCTTCCCAAGGTCCACAACAATTACCTCCCTAGAAAACGTCACTCCTTTTAAAGGTCTTTTGTGATCAGTAACTGAAGGGGTTCCACTGAAAGGTATGTGTGTTTTTTGTGAATCATCCTGCAAGAGAATGGGACAAAGAGTGTAAATGATCAATTTATGAAAACAACAAACCTTGCTTTTAAATATACAGGCTATATGTGCATTGTTAGTGAGAAACAGAAAAGTACCACTAAGTGATATAGAAAAGCAGTGGCAATCCATCAGTTTTGTGTTTCTGTGGTTACAGAAGCACACCCTGACATAGTCAAATAGCCTGATAACGCATCACTCTCTCTACACAGCAGTCAAACCAAGCTGCCTGCGCCACCATCCTGGGTCCAACTGACCATGGGCCTTATGTGGGGAGAGCACATGAGTTGTTTCTTAGTGGGGAGCCCCAAACGTGGAGCTCCGGAAGGCCCTGGCAAAGTTTGTGTGCTGTGGTAGAAGGAGCCTAGACCTTGAGAAGGGACACAGGTCCCGAGCTCAGCCATGGTAGAGGATGACCTTGAACAATTCATGTCTTTTTCTCATTTGCTGGATCCCTAGATGATCTCCAAGTCCTGAGGACTCCAGCCCTAAGATTCTAGGAATCTAAGAAAAGCAGCAAAATGAAGAGAATTATTAAGAAAAACACAAATGTAGGAATGAAGAATGAGTAAGTGTCTAGGCTTGGCATATGTAAGTGGTTTAATGACATGAGCCAATAAAGCTAAGAAGAATGGTGTGAATGACTATGGACATTGCTCTCCTTTAAGGTGGGAACCTAAATACAGCCAAGACCACCCCTTATTGCACCTAGCCAAGTAATTTGCCTCCTTGTCAATCATACAAATGCTATACTGCCCCTTGAGTGTTGAAAAGCCCATCACCTCTTGCCCGTTTTCTTTAACATTCTTATCATCTTGGTTCTCTTTTACTTCATTCTCCACTTTGCCCTCTTTGCCCTCTTTGTTTTCTAAGAGTGTAGCCACCAATTCTTTGCTCCGTCTCTGGACAAGAATGCCGGGCCGCATGATTTGCCTTACAAGAGTCCTAAAAAAAATCAATCAGCAGGGATTTTTTAAAGTTATGCATATTAGCCACCATTATCTCTCTCTCTCTCTCTCTCTCTCTCTCTCTCACACACACACACACACACACATGGCTTTCTACAACATTCTGTGGTGGACTTACTTTTGTTGGTCTCCTGGATTGTGTGTCTCCACATTAGCAGTTAGACAATCTTCACAAGGACCTTTTCCTATCTCCTCATCTTCCTTGCTTTGGAAACTGAAAATGAATGAGCAAAAATTCACTTTTAAAGAGGAACCTGGTGACTCTAAAACCCTGGATGGAAAAAGTAGATTGCTACAGCATTATCATTTGTTCTATTTTAATTGTTTTATATTATTTCTAGATACATTTGCTAGTGTGACTTGAAATCTGATCCCAATTTATCAGCATGGATTTATACCATCTATATAAAAACAGCATCAGTAAAAGGAGGATGCAAATGAAGCAAATTAGTAGGATGATGATGAAAGTAATTGCTGTGGTTTCAAAGCTCATAGGCTTAACAAGCCGACTCATTCACTCTCACGATCGCTGTTTGTCCAAATGTTCTTTTCCAGCTCAGTTTGAATGTAGGCCTCTTGTTCTTTAAGTTTTCTAGAAACAGAAGAGTAAAAGCCTGTTTTCATGGTTGTTCATTTGACCAGCTTTGTAAAGATGCTCTGCTTGTTTCTCTGGAGTTGACTCACACTGGCTAATTTTTCTCCATAAATGCGGTGGGGGACTGAGGTGGCTAGAGGGGATTCTGAGCTGAGACGCGTGTGGCCACTCGGCTCACCTCCCCTCATCCCCAAAACTATCAGAATCCAAAGGAGAGGGGAACTGGAGCTTCTGGAGCTGAGCCCAGCTCCCCATTCTTCTCTCTTCAATGACATCACAGAATCATGGAACCATGGTGTTAGGGGGACTAGGCAGCCAACCCCACCTGTCACCTGGATCGGGAAATCCATGAAACTCTCCTCTGGCCTGAGGTCTGTCTATTCTCTTCTCTGAGAGGGTGGTGGTGAAGGTCACTTGGCATCATCTTGGCTACTCTCTGGAAAAGGACTATCCTCCTACTCTCAAAACACCACCCTTCCTTTCTTAACCTGAATCTGCTTAATAAATTTTTTTCACAGACCATGAGCAATCAGTACACTTCCTTCTTAGAAAATTCCTCTCTCTGATTCCAGTGGTACTCTCCTCAGGCCTAATAGCCCATATCTTTCCATCCCCCATCAGTGGGCCTACTTCCAGACACACAAGAACACTAACAGCTCTAGAGGACATGACTGAGGAAATGGGGGCAGAACAAAAAGTCAGAGTACAGATGACCCTTGACCCATCCTAACTTCAGGTGAGTGAGTGATGACCAGGACAAGGAGGGGGAAGGTAGAGCTAGGACCTTCTGAGAAGAAAAGGAGGGCACAGAGGAGGAAGGCAGCTGCCGCCAGTCCCATCTCTAACAGTCCGAGGTGAGCTGGGGGTGGCTCTTGGCTGCAGAGGCACTGGCTGCCTCCCAGCAAGGCAGGCACTGTGGCTGCTTTTTCTTTGGACACTCCACCAAGTCAGGACCTGAAAACTCCATGAATGTTGAGTGAATGTGTGTGAGTAAACACAAGGGGAGTTTGCTGGAGGGCTCAGCTAAGGCCGATTTTGCAGAACGTGTGAACCTCTGAGCCATTCCTGGCATCAGTAGAATTCTGGATGAAGCTTCCTCCAGCCAAGGCTGCCAGATAAAGACTCAGATACACTGCTGACAGACTGAAACTTCATGAGTCCAAATCTTGGAGCCCTGGCTAGGTAACTCGGTTGGTTAGAGCATTGTCCCAATATGCCCAAATTGTGGATTTGACCCTTGGTCAGGGCACATACAAGAATCAAATGACAAATAACTGATGCATGCATAAATAAGTGGAACAATGAATCAATGTTGCTCTCTCGTCTCATCAATAAATTTAAATTAAAAAAATAGTCCAAATCTTCTCATGTCTCAGATTTTTCTAGAAGATGGAGGTATTTTATATCTACCTAGTAGTGGTTACACAGGTCTAGACAGATGTAAAAACCCATTAAATTGTGTGCCTGAGATTACTGCACTTCATGCCCCGTGCTATGTGGATATTAAATAACAAAGGGAAAAAGGACCCCACCCTCACACCTGAGTCTGAGCGTGCTGGACTAGAGGGTTGCTACAATTGGTTGTCTTCAAGGTCGTTCGCCACACATACCCTGAGACCACAAACCTTTAGTAAGGACACAGCTATAGCAGCAAGTAAGGGCTGGATAAGATGTTCCCTAAGGGCTTTCTTCACTGAATGTGGCTTGGGAAGTAATATCTTAAATTTATATGTATAGTTAATATAATGCAATATAATACAGTGGAGGGTTATCCCACTTTGGTCTCTACATCACATTTTCCACGCACTGGACTGTAATTCTGTGATGCCATGGTGGTGTACTCGTAGCTGGTCTCTGGAGTCTGACCCTGTGCTTTGCCCACAGAAGGTTCATACTGAGAAATTACAATAGAATATTTCACCAATGCTACAGAAACAGCAAATACTCTGAGAGTACTGTGAACAACTGTGTGCTAACCAATTGGATAACCTAGATGAGTGAAAAAAATTCCTAGAAACACAAAACTAACAAAGATTGAATCATGAAGAATTAGAAAATCTGAGTCGAACAACAATAAAAAGATAATAAATAGTCAAGAAACCTCCCAACAACAACAATAACAAAAGTCCTAGACCAGAAGGTCACACTGGGGAATTCTACCAAACATCTAAAGAGCCAACACCAATCTTTCTCAAACACTTCCAAAAAGTTGCAGAAAATGGAATACTTCCTAACTCATTCTATGAGGCCAGCATTGCCCCAATAACAAAGCCAAAGGCATCACAAAGAAAAGACTGATATCCTTTATTAATATTGGGGTAAAATTCCTCAACAAACCACTAGCACACTGAACTTAGCAGTGTATTAAAAGGATAATATGATCGTGACCAAGTGGGGTTATTCCTGGAATACAAGGATGGTTTAATATACAAAAATCAGTGTAATTAATCAGTGTACACATTAACAGAATACAGAGGAAAAATGCATTATCTCAACTGACTTAGTAAAGGCATTTGACAAAGTTTAACATCACTTCATGATAAAAAAAACATTCAAAAACTAGGAATAGAAGGAAACTACCTTCTATTGTTGGTAGAAGGAAACTACCAACATAATAAAGGCTGCATGTAGAAATATCTATACATCTAATAGCATACTCGATGCTGAGAAAATATTTGCAAATCACATATATAAAACAGATTAATATCCCAAATATCAAGAACCCCTACAATTCAACAACAATAACAAAAACTCAATTCAAAAATGGGCAAAGACCTTGAATAGACATTTCTCCAAAGATATACAAATGGCCAAAACCATATAAAAAAGATGCTCAACATCACTAATAATTAAGAAACAAATAAAATCCACAATGAGATAGCACTTTACATCCATTAAGAAGGTTATCACTGCCCTGGCTGGTGTAACTCAGTGGAATGAGCTCAGCCTCTGAACCAAACAACTGTGGTTCGATTCCCCATCAGGGCACATGCCTGGGTTGCAGGCCAGTTCCCAGCAGGGGACGCAGGAGAGGCAACCATACACTGATATTTCTCTTCCTCTCTCCTTCCCTTCCCCTCTAAAGATAAATAAATAAAATCTTTAAAAAAATAAAAAAAAAGAAGGTTATCACTTTAAAAAACCCCAGAAAATGACAAGTGTTGGGAAGAATGTGGAGAAATTGGGACCCTGTGATGTGTCGGTGAGAATGTGAAATGGTGCAGCTACTGTGGAAAGCAGCGTGACAGTTCCTCAAAGAATGAAACACAAAATTACTTACCATCCAGCTACTCCACTCCTGGGTGTTTACGCAAAAGAAGTGAAAGCAGAGACCTGCTAGATATTTGCACAGCCGTGTCCATAGCAGCATTGGTCAGCCAAACATGGGAAAAGCCCCAAACATCCACCGATAGTGAACGGATAAACCAAGAGTGGTGTTTGAAAGGTTTTCTTAGGCTCTGCTGAGGAAGAAATGCCAATCAGCCACAAAATTAGGCAGTATAGAGCTTTATTGAGGTTTGCCCACCCAGGCAAGGTTCTTCGGTCCGCAGAGTGGGGCCAGGGAAGTCCTGCCCAAGCAGGGAATGTGGCGGGGTTTTATTTTGGATGGTTCTCTACATGGGAGCTGGGGATTGGTCCCCTTTGAACAAAGCGGCAATATATCATTGGTGGCTTTCTTTGGGCTCAGGTTGCTATGCAGATATCTGTTTTGGCAAAGCCCGCCCTTTAGGCTCTCTGGTTTGACATCACTGTCTTTTCCAGGTTGTAGTTCAGCTGCCATTTTGTCCTACCTTGCCCATCCTGACAGTGTTCACATACAAAGAAACATTATTCGGCTTTTAAAAAGAACAAAAGTCTGCCCTCACTGGTGTGGCTCAGTTGTCCTGTACACCAAAAGGTTGTGGGTTTGATTCCCAGTCAGGGCACATACCTAAGTTGTGGGTTAGATCAGGGCACATATGGGATGCAACCAACTGATGTTTCTCTTTCTCCCATTCTCTCTCTAAAAGCAATGAAAAGAATGTCTTCAGGTGAAGATGAAAAAAAGAACAAAATTCTGATAGCCGTTGCACATGGATGAACCTTGAAGGCATTATGCCAGGTTAAGTGAGGGAGACACAAAGATGCATATGTTGTCCGATTCCGCTTACATCTGATACCTGATCAGCCATATTCGCAGAGGCAGTAAGTGGAATAGAGGCTGCCCAGGCGCTGGGGAGAGTGGGAAATGGTGAGTTGTTGTTTACTAAATACGGAGTTTCAGCTTGGGAGAATGAAGCCATTCTGGAGATGGACAGTGGTGCCGGTTGCACCACAATATGAATATATTTAATGACACAGTGTATGCTTAGAAATGGCCAGTTTATGTTTGATCACAGTTCAAAAATACTTGTGGAACAAAGGAAAGGGAATCCATCTATAAAGCGGCCTGGTACATGGCAGGCACTAGAAAAATAAAACCATCACAAAGAGGTCTTGTTTCAGTTGCCATCCATTTGTTCATTTTGTTTCCCCACTGGGAATGCCCTGGCCCCTCCCTCAGCCCTTTACCTGCCCCGCCCCCTGCCCTGAAATCCTCCAAGACTTGGTCTAGGGCTACACCTCCATGAGGCCATCACCATCCACTAGGCTTCCTTTCTTCCTTGCTTTCTCTAAGCTGCAACTTCGACTCAAGGACACACCATATCACCTACCGCATCCCAGACCCTTGTCCATTCAGCGCCCACTGCAGGTGTGCGGGGAGTGGTACAGAATTTCACATCCTTTGTCATTTCCCTCGTCCCACTTCTTTTATTCTTTGACCTCAGGCTCCCAGAACCCTGCAAATTCCATTCTCTCCTGTTATCAAAACCTGCTTCTTCTAATCCTTCACCCCAAGAATTCCTGATAGAAATTTA